AGAGCACCGATCTTTTTAAGTCTTAAGCAAAAGCGTTCGTAATTACTAATATGAATACATCTTTTATTAATTATGTTTTTAAAGGCTTTACATTTATCTCGGTATTAATAAAAAGCTTAAGTTGTGTCTTCGGAGTTTTCGCAAAAGCTATAGTCTTGCATTTGATTTTCGTATTTTTTACTTTCTTTTTTTCTTCGTTTTTATAGTTCGTAGCCGATAGCAGCAATCTGAACTTTACTTTCGAAGCTGACTTTACTTCGAGCATTTTAAGCGGTATACTTAATAAAAGCTTCGTCGTAGTCTTCGAATCGAACTTAAAGCTAAGATTAAATAAAGCGTCGAGAAGTTAAGTTAACGACTTAATCTTCGAAGTAATTAATTCGATTATAAATCGCACTGATTTGCAAGTTAAAAAACTTTTTAATTATAAAACTTACTTTATTAATTTTTTCTTTTTTATTCGTGAACCGTAGTTTACGGGTAAACGGTATTATTACTAAAGCTTTTTTAGCAGACTTAAGAACGCTAGCTAGCTCGATGTATTCTTTAATTAAGGTCTGAATATCTTTAATAAAGTTAGCTAAAAAAGACTTCTTTCGATTTATAGCTTCGATAGTCTTAACACTTTAGTCGGTCTTAAAAGCGAATGCGACGAAGTCGTCGAAAGCGGCATAAAAGTTTAAGTCGAGTTCGTCGATGTCGGTATCTCCATATCGACCTTATTTAGCTAGTAGTAGTAGTTGAGGGAGCTCACCCGTGAACCATGGTTCACGGGTCACTTGACATGCCTCGCTTAGCATGTCAGCAGTCAAAGGACCCCCAACTTGACAAGTAAGCCTATTAGTTAGCTAGTGCACGTGATTCCTTCTAATCATATAGAAGGAATCAGCTCCTTTAAGCATTAAGGAGCAGACAGAATTCAGATACCTTATCAACCGAGTGTTTTGCAATTGCAAGTACTTTGACGACCGTTACGACCTTACGAATATATATTCTTAATCGCTTAAAAGCAATCCAACACTAATTGTGACGAACTGATGAATTCTGACCTTAGAATACAAAGTGAGGAGAGGAAACAGGAAGCTCGGGGAGCTCAGGAAGGTCTATATACATGGCCACAGGCGCTAGGCCTGAATGGGTGATCAGCTGACTGCAGGTAACAAGGCAGGCTGTCACACTACCCCCTTAAAGAGCGGTCCCAGCTCTCTCAAAAAGTACCTGACAGAGGAAGGAAAAAAATCAGTCGTAAACCATGGTTCACGGGTGGAATTGCTGAAAAAAAAACCAAAAAATACGCCGAGGCTACAGATCGCGGTAATCGTCAGGGTCAGCGTCGTAGCCTCTAGAAGCGTTCCAAATCCGCCAAAATATCCTCCCTTTCGTTTGAATCAAACCCTCTTAAACCCTTGTTCTCTCGAAAAGAACTCGTCTCTTTGTTCAAAGCTTAGCTAAAAGGAAGGAGCACCTAGCAATCCAAATTGATTGCACTACAACGGGTAGATTGATGAGCTTGCTGATCGAGGGAGCTGTGAGGAGCATGCTGGAGGGTGGGATTTCGATCTTCCAAAAAGCTGAGTCTTTGTTTGATTGTCGAGAGAGTTCTATAGCGCCGAAGGAACCGAAAGCGTATTGCAAGTGCTCAAGCTGCAAATGACGTGCTGCAAATACTTGAGTACCGAGAGGTCGGTTAAGTCGCTGGAAGAGAAAGGGGCCCGTGGCCGTGCGAGGGCGGTTTTAA